CCCGCCCCGAGCGGCGGTCGAGCGCGGTGCCGGCGGCGCCGGCGGCGAGGGGCCGCTCGCGCCCGTCGCGGCGGCGGGGGCGGCGGTGGCGCAGGCGGGGGCAGCGGTGGTCGACCGTGCAGTGGGTGCGCTGGGGCTGGCGTCGTGAAGCAGGTGCTAGGTCGAGAGCGTTGTGTATCCGAGCGGCGGGGTGTGGCAGATAGGGGTCTCTGCAGGCCTGTGACATGTGAAACCTGATGCGGTCATCATCCGAGCACAGTGGCATCCAGAGCAGGAGGTGTTCTGTTCATCTGGGGTCTGGGGTCAGCAGGATGTCGGGGCTCTTTACCACTTGACCGTGCAGGTTGTGCGTGGTAACGTCGAGCGCGTCACCCATTTCTGTGTGCAGCGAGCCTAGCTGCTGCGAGAGCGCCGCTCGAGGGGGTCCCCCACCCCGGTTGTTAATGTGCCTGAGGGATGTAGTCCTAGGAAATGCTGTTGCCAAGGAGACTGCTGTGGCAAAGTTTCGAATCGGTTTTGTGAGCCCGTACCTGCTACTTTGAGTTGTTCAACATTCTGAGTTGCAGGGCTACTTTCTTTCCCAGCAGCACCGAACCTGTTGCATCATTGTAAATGGATCGCGGCGTAGCTCTGGAATGGTCCACGTTTATCGTGATGGCGCATGTGCAGCCGTCGAACACCTCGTGCGGCCGCGTCGACAGCCCCAGCAGCACCATGCTGATGACCTTGTGAGTGAGAAGTGACCCAAAAGGCATTGCGAGCCGCCCAACACCACCTATTGCACACATACAAGCGAACCTGCTTGATTGCATATGTAAAAGGGTTGCCGCATCATCTGACATTGAGCGTCTCTGGCCCATCGGCACCCACAACCGCAACGTGCTGCACCGCGTGACCTATATGCCGCGGGGCGGTCTCACTCGTGCGCTGCCACAGATGCCTGCATTGTCCGACGACTGTACTCTTGGTGGAACACGGCATGATAAAAAGCTTTTCCCTCAGGTGTTATTTGCGAACGCGGCCTGTCCAACAGCTGACAGCCGCCTCCAGTGGTTTCATTTGCTGGTCAATGCGCAGCTGCTGGCGACCCAGGGGCAGCTGGCCCGGCGCACTCCGCGGAAACAAGAGAGGGATCGTTCGCAAACATGACCATATCAACGTAAATTGATCGCTTGACAAGCCGATCACACGCCGCCTACTGTGCGCGTCCCCAGGTGTGCGTTGATCAGCGAGTAGCATCCATGACCCGCGGCCCCTGTGCTCGGCAACCACACGGACCTGGTCAAAATCATCATATGCATGCTTGATAATCCGTATCATATGCGACGGGGTCGGCAGGGGCCCGCGGCTGCGAAGTGGTTGGGCGACATGACCAGGTCGTTTGCTCATGACCGCCCCGCCCGCCCTTGCCACACAGGTTTAACGAGATCGTAGAAGAACCTGATATATAGGCGTACGTCACAGCTTGACCGTCATGGCCAGGCTCCTGGTGCTCAGCGCAGCGGCCGTGGTGCTGTGCGCAGCGCTGGTGGCTGGCGTTGCTGGTGCGCAACAGCCGCCGTGCTGTATAAGTCTTGAAGGGTGTGCAGATTAACCTAGATATGATTGTGGGGACTGCGCCGCTGCCCTCGCTGCCCTGCATCGTCACCTCAGATGGCACCCCGTGTGGCGCTGCATGTGGCCCGCCCCCCCTTTGACCGAGATTGCCGCGACGCGACGCTTGCTCACGTCCCAACACAGACAACAACGGATGCAAGGATGTGATCACCGGCTACTCTGGGACCTTTGGAAAGCGTGCATCTGGCCAGCTTGAGCGCTTCAACAACCAGACAGCCCAGTGGAGGGGCAAAGGCGCGATCACTGTGAGTTGCGCTGTGGTTGGGGCCCCTGCCGCACTCCTGGGCCAGACCCTGTGGTGAATTCTCATGCATCGCCTAGTATTGCCTCACTTCACAGTGTATGAATCTGCATGCACGCACACGAGCGGGCTGCAAAACGGCAACCTGAGCAAGTTGACGGCTGTCGCACGCCAAGCAGTGGCTTGCGCATGCCCGAGCCAGCCCCGTCGTCACGCGCTACTCAACAGCCTCCTGAACCACAAAAACATTGCTGCATCTATCCCCTGCAGAAAGTCAACGTGTACTACAGCTTTGGTCAAAAGTGCATCCAGGGCATCAAGGTCACTTACGGTGAGCCTGGCCTGCGTTGCGACTGGGATGACTTGTGTGGAGGGTATGTAGAACTATAGATATGGCTTTGTTTTGACTGCCAGGAGGGCGACAGTAGAAGTGGCGAGTATTCCAGAGCTCGCATGCAGCCTTGCACGCTCTCGGCGAACAAGTGGCGGCTCGCTCGCCCCCTTCCCCCGCTCGCATCGCACCCTCTGCGATCCTAATCCTGGTCTGCATCCACTGCGCTGTCCCCAGGCTACAACAGCCAGGATGCTAAGCTTCTGGGCCAGGAGCAGAACCTCAGCACCAGGGACCTGACCCTGGAGGAGGGGGAGCACTTCAACAAGGCCCAGATCAAGGCCGGGGCGTGAGTGGCAGGCCGGGGCTGGCTGAGAATGCTCTGGGGCGGACAGGGTTTTGGTTGGTTTCGACGAGCACCCTCACAGAGCCAAGAAGCAGTACAGGCAGTTTTCTTGTGCGGGGAGGGGGGGGATGGCGAGAGAGGCAAGCAGTTGGGACGAGACTGCGGCTGCGAGGTGCAGCTGGCAAACGGCAGGCCAAGCTGGTTGCGAGGAGCCGCCACCAGGCGGCAAGACGGGCCGTAGTGGCTGCAACCGTCAGCAGAGCACTCGGCCTTGCTTGCAAGGCACGCATTTGCCCCAGCACCAAAGCAGCCTCGCTAGGGTTCAGGGTTCGGCCCTTCCATCCTCTAAATCCTGAATCATGACTTGGCACCAATTCCAGGTGCGTCGAGTACCTGCGCCTCGCCACCTCCAAGGGCCATGTTCTGGAGATTGGCAACAAGGAGAGCACCACCCAGCTGATCACCAGCTACCCCAACAAGCCGACCGGCTTCCTCGCCGCCATCAGGTGCGGCGCGCGGCGGCTATTGCGTGGTTGAGGACAGGGCCCCGTATATCAGGGGCTTCAATGCAATGCGATGAGTGATGGATCACATGCCAGGAGGCTGGATGTCTCGCTCAGCAATCAGTGGATCCCATCTCTGGCAAAGTTGGCCCTTGTTCTGCTTGTCTAGTGTGCACCATCACGCGCACACACACATGCACGGGCGCGCAACCATCTGCGCACCTGGCTGCATGTGCTCTTACACGCGCACCTGTCGTGTTTCCGTCTCCCCAAAGGGGCTACGAGGCGTACGCCAAGACCGCAGAGGGCAGCACCTCCCGCGGATCCCTGCAGACTCTGCAGTTTGTCTGGGCCAACTGCAACCCCCTCGCCGGCTCCGGTGAGCGCTGCTGCTCAGGGTCAAATCACGAGCAATCACACACCTGGGGCCTCGCTTGTCAAGTTGGCTGGCAGCTACGCAGGAAAGGGTGTTCTTGTAATAAGTCCGAGTGATTGATTGGCACACGCGGCTTGCATGCACGCCTGCACGTTGTTTGCTGACAATGCACCATTGCAAAATCCTCCCTCCCCACAGTCCCGGTCCCAGTCCCCACCCCGGCCGCC